ATATTCATTGATAATAAAGTCCCACAAGAAGTTAGGATGAATTTTAGAACAGGTGAAAAATGTGTGTGTGTGTGTGTGTGTGTGTGTGTGTGTGTGTGTGCGCGCGTGCGTATGGAAGCCAGGAGATAACCTGGGATGTCATCCCTCAGGTGCTACCCTCTCCTTTCTTGACAGGGTCTCTCACTTGGAGCTCAACAGGTAAGGGAGGCTAGTCAGCAGGTCCCCGGATCCAGTTGTCTCCGCCTCCCCAGTGCTAGGACTACAAACACCAGCCACAGCATCCAGTGTTCTGGGAATCAAACTGAGGTCCTTGTGGCTGCAACACAAGCGTTTTGTCAAACAAGCCATTTCACAGACCCTGTAATAGGCTTTTAATGACAAGAGCATTAGCACAGAAATGAAAAAACAATGTATATCATATACATGGTACTTATTCTACAGTGTTTGTTATACAGAAGAATTTATGATTCTCTCTGTGGCCTTAAAAGGGGGAGCGCTGGAACAGGTGCTTCCCAGGGATTTCACTAGCTGTCCTGTCGCTTCAGCATAAACTTAGAAAGGCATTAAAGTATTGGGGATCAAACATTAGGAAATAGAGCTAGGCAGGTTGTCGTATGCCCGTAATCCCAGCACATAGCAAGAAGAGTCAGGAAAACAGTTCAGTTCAGCCTGGAGCCACATAACAACACCCTGTATTTAAAAAAACAAAAACAAAAAGACACATTCCAACTGTTTTTTAAAACATAATGTCATGTAAACAAATATAATTGTCTAATATTCTTTTTTTAAAGAGTATTTTCTATCCAGAGGACACCAGATCCTTATGTCAAGAGTAGAAACAAGAAGAATCCACTCACCTTGCCTTCAAGACATTTAAAATCTGGGAAAGAGGGCTGGGGAGATGGCTCGGATGTTAATGTGCTCGCTGTGCGAGCATGAAGTCATGAGTTAGGATCCCCAGAACCCACAGCAATCTCAGCACTGAGCGAGACAGATATGTACATGCATGTGTACCTGCATGAACATACACAAATACTCCACACATGCACACAACAAAAAAAAAAATATAAATCAAGTCTAAAGGGGGCAATACATTTAAATATAAAGAGTAGGCCAGAGAGCAAGGGGGTAGGCGGGCCAGGAGCTGTGAAAGGCACAGAGTGAAGAGGGAAAGGAATCAGCAGCGTACTCAGTGATCAGAACAGGGTACTCATTCACATTTCAAAATGAATGTTTTCACAAGGCTAGTCATGGTGGTCCATGCTTTGACCCCAGCACTCCTCAGCAGACAGCGGCAGGTGGAACACTGAGTTTGAAGGCAGCCTGGTCTACACAAAGAGTTCTAGGCCAGCCAGGGATACATAATTAGACTCTGTCTCATTTTAGTTTTTGTTTTTTAAGTGCTCTGACAGTTTGGGTTCACAGAGATTATGCTTCCGGAAGTAGTTTCTGAGCTGAGCCTTCAAAGATCTAGATTCTTCCAGAGCAATGCAGTAAGGCAATAGGCATACACGGGCAAGACCAGACAGATGCTCTGGTGACAAGGTGCAGGTTACCAACACACAGGTCAGGAATGCCGACGTGAAAGCCAAGGCTGAACGTACCGTCCCAAATCCTGAGTTAGCCTAAGGAGTCTACATTAACTTGGAAAGGGAGCTGGGATTTGACTCTTGGCTCCAACATTTATTGGAAGCAAACTGAGTGTTTCCTAGACTCACCTTGTCATTGAGGTATAACTCGCCTGCTTTGATGGGCCTTTTAAGACAGAGAGGTGATGCATGGCCAGGACATCTGCATGACAGTACTCTCCGCATCTAAGTTCAAAGCTGGGCTATAACTAGTACTGTTCGTAACCATAAAAGCCACCCAAGGATTTTTAACAGTACAATAATGACAGTTTTTAAAGGATCTGCCTTACTGCCCATGGTAGACAGGAGAGAGGAAGGAAAATCCGCTCATAAGCAATGTTAGGGCAGAGTGAAATTCCGGAACTAAGGCACTGCATGGGCAAAGCCCGAGAAAGACACTGAGACAAGGGTGGAGGGAAGCAGGAATGTGGTCTGAACAGTTGTAACTGAGAAGGCAAAACAGAAGTTTCTGGAGAAGGCCAGAAAGCTGATGAATAAGTGGGTTTAGCCAGAAGAGAAACTACAGGAAGCTACAGCTCTCAATTATGAATGGGAAGCGCTTTCAGGACTCCCACAGTCCCTGATGCCTCACATCACCCCCCACCACCACTTCCAGGGGCATTCTAATCCAGCCCTCCCTGGAGCTTGAAATGGAAATGTCAATTAAGAAAAGGTAGTCCTGCCAAGAAGCTCATTATAAATTAAATGATGGGTTATCCAGACTCTCGTGCAGGGAGAAGCATCTTACTGCCCCAGAACCGGCTGGAAGTGGAAGGAAGAGGGGATGGATACCTGTGTCCTTCCTCCGGCCCTCTTTGCCACTGGCCCTTTAGGAGGCAACCACACCATCTCTTTCGGAACCTCTCCACACCCTCAGTCTCATGCAAAGATGGAAAGAGCGAAACTGCCCTTATTTTAAGGAAAAGTCGCTGCAGAGCCTTCTGGGATAAGTACTCTCTGCATTTGAGAAAAGAGGAACTACCCAAATTTCCAGCACTTTCCTACCAAGATGGAAGGCATCACTACTCAGAGCTCACTGACCACAGTGGGTAAAAGCAGTCTGATTTCTTTTTGGATTTGGATAAAAGGATGATTTCCTTTCCTCCCCTATTAAAAGCCCCCGATTGACCAGGCCCACAAACCATATACTCAACCACAAAAACCCATGGCAGCGAGAGCCTCCACCATTCAGAAACAGGATACCTGGTGTATTTGATGCTGGCACCACAAAGCTTACAGCCTAGTCTCAGACAGCATTTGCACATTTTACCAGTGAGCTCCATCACTAGGTTAACTTTGATTAAACGGTGAGACAAGAGAGCAGAGAGGAAGGAGCAAAGGGTTTAGAGTCAGAAAGATAACGAAGAGCTCTGGGAATTACTACTGACCCCGGGGCAAATTCCGGCAGTTCCCTCGGGTGGTAAAGCCTGTCAAAACGGTGAAGATTAGGACATAACACTCCTGGGCACTCCGTAGTATCTGGCCTACAGCTATTAGTCATTACTAAAAACAGATCTCAGGGATAAAACAGCAACTCCTTTAGCTGAACAACATGTCCATTGGCTGTAAAAGTGGAAATCATATTTTCATCGCTTAGAAGTAACCCAACACAAGGGAAAGACAGGCTAGAATCATAGTACTGCCCAGACAGTCTTGGGGCAATTGGTCAACCCACATGAGCCTTAATCTCCAATTCACTAAAAATGTCTAGCTTGGGCCAGGGAGATGGTTCAGTGAGCAAAAGGCAGTTGTTATCGAGCCTGATTACTGGAGTTTGATCCCTGGACCCCACAGTGGAGAGGGAGAGAAAGAAAACTCACTATTAAAGCCCTCTAACCACCAACCTGTATGCACAAACACAGGTTTGTGAGCACACACACAAATAAATCTAAAAAAGGAGACTTTAAAAAATCTAGCTAATCAGACTACTGTAGTGTTAATGATGCAATCTACACAAAGCTCCCAGTGAACACCTTGATGGTTAGTGGGTACTCATTAGCAGTAGCTAGTGCTATTTATTCATTCTTCCCAATAAAAAAGGAAAGAGATGAAATAAATATTCATATAACCATAGAGAAGTTTACATTTACTCATTCCATAAATGTGTATTGTGAACCTGCAGTGTGGTAGGCTGGGTTCTTTTTTTTTTTGGTTTTTCGAGACAAGGTTTCTCTGTGTAGCTTTGCGCCTTTCCTGGAACTCACTTGGTAGCCCAGGCCGGCCTCGAACTCACAGAGATCCGCCTGGCTCTGCCTCCCGAGTGCTGGGATTAAAGGCGTGCGCCACCACTGCCCGGCTTAGGCTGGGTTCTTAACACTGAGGCTAGAGTGAGGAACTGGACCAAACCTCCCTCCACTTTCCCAGGACTTGCATCCCAGCAGCAGGAGGCGGGCAGCTGGGGAAAAGGGTAGATCACTCCAGGCAGCTTTAAGCTCTGTGAAGAACCCCAAACAGGACAATGTGGAGTTGACGGACAGGATGGACATTTGGCTTGGATGCACAGCAGTCTGCCTGGTGGTCTTTGTGGTCAAAAAGAGGTCCTCTTTGTATGATACTTTGAGTGTGGGATGTGGATGGCCACAACTCAGACCTATGCTTACTTGTCTCTGAAATTCATCTTTTGCAGTTACAATTGTAAGATACAGTACCCAAATGCCCTCTTCCAGTAATCAGAACCCTAGGGCACTGCGACATCCAGGGGGACTCAAATGCCCCAGCGCAGTTCCCAGACACAAGGTGACAGACAAGTTTACATCCCTCTCAGCCGCAACAGTCAGGGAGGCACGCGGCTGGTTCAGAAGTGTCTGAAGGACACAAGGCAATGCCACGGGTGACACCAGAGGCAGCAAACGCCCGCTGGGCTCCTGAAGCCCCAAGGGGAGGGTTTCTTCGTCCCCAGGGCAGACACCGTGGAGCATGACGACCTGGCTTGGGAGGGCAAAGAGCGGGACGCCTGCACCGCCCGGCCCTAGCTCGCGGATGTGGAAAAGCCTCCCTCCTGGCCCAATTAAGCAGGTTTCCTGTGCCTCCCGCCCCGGCAAGACCCCAGACTGTGCCCGGGACAGCTCCTCCGCACAGCATCCTCCTGCACCCGCACTCAGGATCCCGCGCTCCGCTCCTTCTCCCGGTCCATTCCGGTCGGGCTGTCACTCAAGGGGCACAGCTCCAAGGTGAGCAGCATCAGGGTGCTTCCTCCCAGAAAACTGGCGCCGACACTGCGGGCGACCTCCGAATCTCAGGGCTGCCCCGTGAGCCGGGGCTTCCCAGGAGCAGCACAGATATACTCGGGACCCTAGACTGGCAGCGTGCCTGAACCTTCCCCGGGCCTCCACCACACCTCAACTCCAGCCCGGCGGGCGCCTTGCTGCTCACCTGAGCTTTCCGCAACTGAGGACACTGCTTGGTTCCCTGGTGCAGGCTTCAGACTGGGAAGGACGCAAACCCGGCTTCTCGGGTCCCTGCAAGGCTCAGCCGACGGCAGTTCCAACACCAGCCGCAGGAGACTGGGGCGCCGAGCGCCACTCGCCGACAGATGGTGGGCGGAAGCCCGCGCTGCGCACCGGCTCTCCTGGCGCGGGGGTCCCTGGTCCTCTGCCACTGGCCGGCGTACGATCCCGCGACCAGTTCTCAGTACTTTGCCCAGAACTTTAGGGCGCGCGCCGCGGGGCGATTAGCTGAGACGCTGGAGCTAGGGGAGGGAGCTAGGAGGAGGAGCCTGAGTCTTCCCTGGGGGCGGAGCAACATGGGAAAGGGGGGGGTGGGCGCATCAGAGTGGCTCCCACTCCCACCAATCAGGAGTCATCCGAGGAAAGGTGGTGGGGCGCTGCCCTTGGAAGCTGCAGGCGGATTCCGTGACGCCACCCAGGGTTCAGGGCGTGGAGAGGAGCGGAGGGTGGTGGTAGGTGTGGCTGGGCGGGGCAGGAGCTCCGGGCGTCCCAGAGCACTGTGCGCTGGGTAGGCTCTCAGTAAATGTTTATTGAATGACTAGGAAGAAGGTAAGGTCCGCGCGGGAGGAGCTGTTTTTAAGGAGATTCCAGGGGACTAAAGTAATCCAACAGAGGAGGATTACTAGACCACTGAAAAGCCTGAGGATAAATAAGGGCGAAATGTGTGGCGAGCCGAGGGGGTTGTAAGCACACGAGGTCGAGGAGAAGAATTGGTGTGGGAGACTAGGTTCAGACACTGGGAGCCCGGCCTCCAGAAGCAGTTGTGCAGATTGGTGCGGGGGCACAGTGTAGGGGTGAGGGAAGAAGGGTTATTTTGTTCTTACAGTCCCCGTTCAAGAGCCAGGAAAGAAGATGCAATGTAGTTGGCGATTAAAACGCAGGAGCCTCGGGCTAGATGGCCAGACCCATCCGACTTCACGTCCCACTTGCTAGAATCCTAGCTTGGATGCCAGCCACTGATAATTAGAGGTCAATTTGCAGACCGCACATGAGTCTAGCGCCTCAGGTGGCGCGGTGGCCAGGGAATGATGAATGCCAGAAGCAGATGCGACCCTGCACCTGCGGTAAAGGCACACAAGGTTTCTGCCCTCTCAGAACCTACATTTTAGAAAGGAAGCAGACGATAAACCAAAGAGAGTATACACATATAATCAAGAAAACGTTGGTGAACTGTTAGCCCTGAGACAGGGCCACGCAGAACACTGGAAGGAGTGAGTGATGGGAACACTCTTAGGGCCCCTAGGAGGAGGCTCTGAAACAGGCTCCCGAAGCGAAGCGGGAAGGGCGCTGCCACTCTTAGTCTGAGGAAGAGCTTTCCCAGCACTAGGAACTGCAGACGCGATGTATTCAACCTCTTTAAGATCCCCCTGGCCTGCCTCACCGAGCAGGGCAGTTTGCGTCTTTTGGCTCAGCTGCTGACACTCTAGGCGCACCAGAATGCCAAGTATTCGCGCCAGCCGCCACTGATGGCACTAGACATTGTCAGTCTGACCCCATATTAAGGTTTCTGAGGCGCTTTCCACAACTATATAAACTACGTTTCATTCACCACGCTTGGATATTCGCTCTCTGGAACAATCGCTGATGCGGACTCTCTGGGGCTGTCTGCTTTGGCTCTGGCAGGTGGAGGGGGTTGGGGTGAGGAATGCTTGGTTAGGACCTCAGAATCCCTAGACGCTGTGAGCCTTAGCACTCAGGTTGGAGATTTCAGTATGAATGACACGGGTATTCCTATACTACCCCAAGCCTGGCAGAGTACCAGCTGAGGAGCAGGCCTTAGAGTCGCAGAGACCACTGGGAACTCAAGGCAAACTTGCCCACGCCCAGCTCAGGCGCCCGAACCACTCACATTTTACTTCTAGTATCTTCCCCAAGACATCCTCCCTTTCCCTTTTCCTTTCCCCACTTCCAAACCACCTTGTTGCATCCTGATCCGCTTTCCTATCAGAGACAAGCCTTTTATCCCAAAGGAATGTCTTCGCTGCAGGGTAATCCAACCTTTGGACTTGGCAAACGGTGGTTATCGTCTCCAAAGTTCACACTGGAGATTGTACAATCATACATAACTAGATACATCTACACTTACATTGTGTTGGGCCTGATTCATAACTACCCCGAGTCCAATGAAGCTGTAGCCTGTACCAAATGGCCTGGTAGCCACAGGTTGGACAGACAGCTATGGTTTTACTGCTGTTCAAACTGGCATCCGGTCCCTGACTTTTTCTTCTGTTTCTTCCAGGCTGCCTGTGTGTTCCGGTTGGTCCTGGAGGCAGTTAATGAGACAGGATGAGAGACTTGTTCATATTCAGACTGCCTTGCCTCCGAGAAAGAGGAATCTAAGTGAGTCTCTTCGGTTCCACTTCCTCTTCTAAATAAGCTTCCAGGCGCTCCCGCTCCTACAAATCAAGAGGGGAAAGATTAAAGTTGAAACCCACGCAGCGTTAATTATCTTGCAAAAGCTCGTTACTGTCCTAAAATTAGCTTTCTCCACAGTCTTATTTTAGCGCAATGATCTGAATGTACTAGAGAAAGATCAATGGCTGCATAGTAAGTTGCTAGAGCTGTTTTCTGTGAACAGTTGAACAAATACTGTTGATCCTTGTAGACGCTCCACCACCGTGGGGGGGTTTTCTGCAGTTGGCTTAGTGCTTTTCTTTTTTCACATTTATCGATTTTGTGCGTGCGTGCGTGTGTGTGTGTGTGTGTGTGTGTGTGTGTGTGTGTACATGTTTGCCGCTGCATAAATGTGGAGGTCAGAGAACAACTTGCAGGAGTTGGTGCTCACCTTCCGCCGTGTGGGTCCTAGGGATCAAGCTCACTCTCGGTGCCAAGTGTCTTTTATCCGCCTGAGCCATCTCGCTGGTCTGACTGAATGTCTTTAGCCTCTGAAACTCCTCATAGGCGAGCAGGTGCTTGCCTGGTTTTGCATGTTTTCATAGTAAAAAAGGCTGATCAGACTGGAGTGTAGGCAAGAACTACATGGACTTCTAGAATTGGACCCCCAGCTTCTTGTCCTCTTGTTACGACTCCTGGTTAAGCAATCACCTTTCCTACTTTGTGAAGTGGAAATAGTCATTGGGTTTAATTGGGCTACTTAAAGAGTTTTGCAATCTGAAAATAATTGCCATATAGACTAAAACAGAGTTCCCAACCTCAGTGTGATTGACATTTGGGGCCCAACAATTTTCTTTGTGGGTAGGGATATCTAGTACCTATAAGCTGCATCTCTACCCTCAACCCACCAGACACAAAGAACATTCTGTCCTACCCAGAGGTAGCAACCAAAAATCCCCCAGACATTGTCAAAAGACCCCTGGAGGGCAGAATTGGTCCTGGCTGAAAACCACTTGCTTAGCACATAACCTATGCCAAAGAACAGGAGGCAGCAGAAATATCTGCTTAGGGATAGGATTCTGGCCACGAACCTAGGGTAAATTTTGCTTTCCTAAGCCCCATCTGCACAATGGGAACTGAAATAATACCATCTCTCGAGGCTGTCTAAGGATTAAATATAATTGTGTAAGAGCCGTTTGTGCAGTGTCTCGGCCTGTGTGCACTACCAAAATAAGCGTCTGACCTCACTGTCTTCCTGGGAGCCCGCATTGGCCTGCATGGGCTCACTGTCTTCCTGAGGAGCAGGCATTGGCCTGCATGGGCTCACTGTCTTCCTGGGGAGCAGGCATTGGCCTGCATGGGCTCACTGTCTTCCTGGGGAGCAGGCATTGGCCTGCATGGGCTCACTGTCTTCCTGGGGAGCAGGCATTGCCCTGTATGGGCTCACTGTCTTCCTGGGGAGCAGGCATTGCCCTGTATGGGCTCACTGTCTTCCTGGGGAGCAGGCATTGGCCTGGATGACCTCACTGTCTTCCTGGGAGCCCGCATTGGCCTGCATGGGCTCACTGTCTTCCTGGGGAGCAGGCATTGGCCTGTATGACCTCACTGTCTTCCTGGGGAGCAGGCATTGGCCTGCATGGGCTCACTGTCTTCCTGGGGAGCAGGCATTGGCCTGCATGCTTTGTTTGCAGCTACTCCTGTCCCTGATTCATGGCAGACAACAGGAATAAATCAAAGCTGGCTTTATCACCAAGTTCAAATAGGGCTCAGAATTCTTTTTTGTTTGTTTGGTTTTTTTTTTTCCTGGAGCTAAGGACCAAACCCAGGGCCTTACACTTGCTAGGCAAGCGCTCTACCACTGAGCTAAGGTGAATGTCCAGAATTCTTAACACTGTGTTCTGGGAAGCTATTACTGACAGAACGCACGAGTCTGTAAGGGGTGCTGAAGGACCATTCCAGGGCTAACGGGCATGAACATCCCCATTCCAGGGCTGAAAGGTCCCTAACAGCCCCAGTCTCCAGCGGTGACCACATGTGGGAGGGAGCAACAGTTGATTGATGATGTCAATCTCATCTCTTTTATAGAAGGGGAGGATCCCAAGAACAGAATTTCGGCATCTTTATCATAATCGCACAGCCCAGGGGCTCAATCTCCTGATCTCTTAAATTCTTTTTGCCATACCAGTCATCTAAGGAAGCTGAAAGCATTTTCTTGGTCCAGCGCTTGAGGCAGAGGCAGGTGGATTTCTGTGAGTTTGAGGCCAGTCTGGTCTACAGAGTGAGTTCCAGATCAGCCGTGGCTACATGGTGAGAATTTGTCTCGAAAAAACAAAGAGAGAGAGAGAGAGAGAGAGAGAGAGAGAGAGAGAGAGAGAGAGAGAGAAGCATGTCCAAAGCAGTGACGCTAGCCTATTCCTACTCATCACCCTCCTTCACTTTTATGTGAAAAAATGAATTAAAGTATTTTTTGTTGCATAGGATCACATCGGAAGCTCTCTTTCAAAAGTGTTAGTAAGCTCATCACACACACAAAAAAAAATGTGCAAGAAATCATCTATTCCTTGATTAAATATAGATCATGTACCACCCTTGTGTAAGAGACCATTCTTAGCAGGCACTTTGTGACATACAAAGATGGATCAGAGAATGTTCCTGCTTTTATTGCTTCTTACAGTTACCTCCATTGGGCAGATCAAACATGTATATAAATAACTACAATACAAACTGGAAACTGTCCTGAGAGAGGCACCAAAAATATGTTCAGAAGAAAAGATGAATTTTTTGAGAATTAGAAACAGAGAGGTACTTCTTCCGGCATGGCTTTGTTGACACTTTTAACTGATTTAAAATTTGAGCTTATTACAGTAAAGCTATCCTTGTA